TTAATCTGTGATGAAATTGTACAACAATAACTGTACAAGAAATACATTCCTATAAATTGCTATGCAAAGGTATATAGTATATATGCTAATGGTAATATTAAATGTTTCCTTATAAGAAAACATTCAACATTCATTGGACCAAGCAGCTAGTACTAATGTCAGTTGAAATTTATAAAATCTTTCTCTTAAAATAATTTTTCAGGAAAATAACTTCCTCAATTTCAGTAGCTGTTATCCCATTTTCCTGCTTTTTCTTTCCTAACCTTTTGTTTGAAGTGTGTATGTCATTAATTTTCTCTTTGAGTTACATGTGATATCCATTTTAGTTGTCGCTGACATTGGTAGTCCTCAAGTGATGTGATTTCTATTATTTGGTACAGTTCTTTGTGATTCTGTAGCGCCAGTCCACAAACTTCAAAGAAAGATGGTTGTAACAGGGTAATGTTGTTGGGTGCTGATGTATTATTTTCGCTGTTGCTATTATTTTGTTGACTGTAATGAGATTGATATTAATGACAGAAATTAAAATGCATAAACGTACAACAGTAATAACAATAAAAAGTTAAGACACATGTTGATATAAATAACAAGAATTTATATTTTCTTTTTGTGATATGAATTACAGAATATTGTTACAGTGTGTGTAAAAATGTTCTCAGTGTGTCAGTGTGCTTACTTGGTTTGGTTCTGAGAATTTTGTTTGTGAGGATGCGTTTGAAATCGTCTGTTGTGTTTGATCTTCTGGAGTGCTGATAAAGCCATTTTACTACTACTACTACCACTTGTCTATTGGTCTACTGCTATAGGATACCCTAGTCTATACTAATCTACTCTACTGACTCTCTTGTGGTGGAAGGGTTGTTTTTATAATGATGAAGGTTAGGATGATGAAATATAGTTATTTTTTATCATCACTGATGGCAATATTATTTTTAGAATGATGAAATATCATCATCATTCTAGACCATAACATGATCTTCAACAAGACCAATAGACTTCACTTGCTCAAAGCCATTTTTAACCATTTATCTGAGAAAGCGGTTGTATAAAACTGACATTTATGTAATACTAGCAGTAGAGCCCGGCATTGCCCGGGGATGTAACAGTAAGAGATTGATCAAGTATCGACCACCATAAAGAGTGAAAAATAAAAATTGACAAAGATTATTGTTTAAGGTTGACGGACACAAATGTCTTAATTAGTTTTTTTTTTTTTTTTTTTGTTTTAAACGAATTGGTCAAACTCAAACAAAAACATTGTTTTCAATCGTTATGAGTCTATCAATTGAATAGAATTTTATTATAAACAATTGTCTTGTGAATGGAATTTTAAAGCATTCTGAATGTAAAAAAAAAAAAAAAAAGTGTGCAAGACAATAAGAAACTCTACCTGTCAAAAAAAAGTGAAGTTTTGTTGAAATCGGTTGAAAAAATGGAAATCCGATCCCATATATAAATGAACACACACACACACACACACACACACAAACAAACAAACAACTGGGTTTTATAATAAAGTATAACTCGATAACTCGATATTAATAAGTATAACTCGATATGAGTTGTCCCCCTTTCATTAATGCCTCTTAATCGTGTTTTCACATTGATTTCATGCAAAAACAATTGTTTTTCCAATTTTTGGCACTGTCAGAACCACCACATGGTAATTTTATGTACTCCTGTGAAGTTTTGTTGAAATCGGTTGAAAAATGTAGGAAATCTGATCCAATATATAAACGTACAGACACACACACACACACACACACACACACACACACACAATCTGCGTTTTATAATAAGTAAGATTATTCTTCATCTGTTGTGTATGTGTATGATACTATTTGTGTTATAACACCAAAAAATTAATATTTTTTTCTACCATTTTTGTTTTTCCAGAATTGCTGCTGCCACATATTTTTGATCTGGGAATTTCTGAATAATTTAAATCCAATGCTAAAATGCTACCATCCAGAATCTCCATCGCCATTACCTTCAGTTTAGCTTTGGTTGTGGTGTCTGGATATCTAGAACGTCGTTTCACAACCCGGTGGTTCAATGGAACAGAAACTGTAATGGTCTTCCAACATCACAATCCAGGTGAATGTCTCTATGACATTGGCGCGAACAGCCTAATATGTGTGGATAACTTTCCTTTCAATTCTATTTCCTCTGCTTGGCGCATTCAGCCAAAAAACATCTCCTACATATATGTTCGCTGCCGGGAGCAGAATATGCTTTCTGATTATCCAAACAGATGTATTTGCAAATCAGGAAAGACTTCCGCTTCAAGAAAAGCACATCGAAAAGAAGACAAATTTAAATTTTGTGTAGTAAATGATCTATTATTTGGAACCCTAAATCATTTATCTGCGCTCGAGGTCTTAGATCTGTCGTATAATGAAATCGAAGTCGTGCAAAATGAAGCCTTTTCAGGTCTGAAACGTCTCAGATACATTTCTCTCTCTCACAATCCAATTAGAACTCTGCCGGATGAATTATTTTGCCACTCTATGCAGTTACATTATGTTCACCTCCAACACGTAAATATTTCACTTTTTCCTTCTAACAGTTTTCGATGCCGTAATGGAACGCTCAAAATAACTTACATTGATTTCAGTTGGAATAAAATCCACACCCTGTTCGACAATCAATTTAAAATGCTGCCATTTCTTGTTTTTTTAAACCTTTCAAACAATGCTATTAACAATATTTACTTTGATGCATTTTTCAACACTGTTTCTTTGCAAGCTTTAGACCTTTCTGCGAATTCATTAACAGAATTGCCACCCAGATTTTGTCAGGGACTGAGAAATATCTCAAACCTGTACTTGTCTGGTAATCGCATCAAAGTTCTCCATGCAACGCCATTACTGAACTGTTCGCACCTTCAGCAGCTTGACTTGTCTTCCAATCTTATCAACCATATTCCCCAAGGACTTAACTTGACATCTTTGCTGTCGCTTAAGCTCTCGGAAAATGATTTGACTGAACTCCGGCCTTCCATGTTTAGTGCCTTACCGTCGCTGTTGCATATGGACATATCTCAGAATCGAATCAAGTGCATCATGCCGCAGACCTTTGCAAAAATAATAAATCTTCGACGACTTAACCTAAGCAGAAACAAGCTCGAAGATTGTTCTGCCTTTAACAAAGTGTTCCAGCATATGGACAAGCTAAAATCTCTTGACCTCAGTGTTAATCTCCTTAATTCACTGAGTAACGAGAGCTTTGGAAGTCTAAAGAGTCTGCAATTCCTTGACTTGTCCTATAATTATATTAGTTTTTTCAACCCAACAGTGTTTCGAGGTTTGTTTGAACTGAAATATCTCAGCCTCCGGGGAAATAAAATCTCACTGCTTCCTTCGGGAGCTTTCAAAGATCTTCTTGTTTTAAAAGAGTTAGATCTGTCCCAGAACTACATCTCCACTATACAAGCTGATACGTTTCCAGAGAGTTCTTTTACTCTTCACCTTTTCCAGAACTCTTTGCAAGCCGTTCCAGCAGGTCTGGAAAATACGAACATTACTTACTTGGACCTTAGTCGAAACAACATCCGAAAGTTAAATTACCAAGGTTTTGGTGGAATGAGGAATCTCAGATCTCTTGATCTTAGCCACAACAGTATAAGAGAGATTGTACCTGGGGCATTACTCAGTCTAGTAAATTTAAAGAATTTGACCTTGGAACATAACGAGCTCACTATAGATTTTGAAGAAAATTATTTTGAGGGGCCAGTCTATCTTGAGTCGTTGAACTTGGCCTATAATCAAATCCAGCACTTAAATAACATGTTCAAGAATCATCCATTCCAGTACATTCAGTATTTGAACTTGTCGAATAATCCAATTAGATATATTTTAGAAAGCCTTTCCCCATCTTATGAGACAAGTCAAATTCATGTTCTGTCACTCGACAATTGTAATATTTCAGCAGTGGCCCAATTTGCTTTTAATGGACTCGATAACTTGAAAATTGTCTACTTAAGAAATAATTCACTTTCACACTTAAAGCCATTTATAACAAACCAAGAATTAACTGTATTACTACATGGGAATCCACTTGTCTGCTCCTGTGATATGCAATGGCTAAAACAAACACATCACACTTACAGTGGCAAAACACTTCCTAAGTCTCAGTATCAAGTTGAAACCTGCACTTTTACCCAGAACTCTCTTAAGAAAGCCATCATAAATGCAAAGGTTGAAGAATTTCTTTGCATTTCAAAAGCCAACTGTGACAAGAATTGTTTCTGCTACACCAACGAGCTGACAGAATTGCCATCAAAGACAATCTGCACTGGGAGATTGTCTGCACTCCCAAAGAGGGTTGCATTCACAAGCAAGCAGCTGTTTCTTGATGGTAACAACTTTGAGCATCTGGGGGAGTTGCCTTCGATAACCAATGAAAACGGAATGCAAGCAAGAGAAATCTATCTCAACTCCAGCCGCATTGTGTCGGTCAGTGCAAATCTAGTCCAGAATTTCCCCCGGCTTGTCATTCTGCATTTAGACAACAACAAAATCACGACTTTGCCACCATTTGTATTCAAACAGTTAAAGTTGCTCGAGGAGCTGTATTTAAACAAAAACGAAATAACTTACCTGAGTCCACAAGTGTTTGCCGGCCTTCATTCCCTGAAGTATCTCGATGTATCCCATAACAAATTAAAACTTCTCTCACCAAATACGCTTTCAGCATTCAGTACTATGCAAGCGCTCCGTTCTGTTCACCTAGAAGAAAATCCCTGGTACTGTGGTTGCGAGAATCAAGAGTTTTACCACTGGCTCCATTATAATTATTCGATTTTAGGGAATCGACGTGATGTACAGTGTAATGGAAAGATAATTCTAGAACTGCATCCGTCTGCTTTCAGGTGTGAACCTTCTGTCATCAAAAAAGTTCTTGTGATTTCTATGATTGTTTCAGTAATTGTCTTAGCACTTATTATCACCTTTTTGGTACGATATCGTCGTGAGGTCATTGCTCTGCTCTATGTCAAGATGAATCTCTCCCGTTTCCGACGTCGTAGCAAAATCTATCGCCCATTTGATGTGTTTCTGATTTATGATGAAACGGATAAGAACTGCCAGAAATGGCTTGAATCCACATTCCTGCCCAAACTCGAGAATGGACCAAAAGCCTTTAAGATCTTCATCCCCGATCGAAACAATGCAAACCTGGAGCGAAGACTCAGCATTGCAAGCAATTCAACAGAGCTTATAAAACAATGTAAATGCACCGTAATGATTGTATCCCGGGACATTGCTGGCAACAGTTGGAGTTCCATGTGTCTTCAAGCAGCTATTTCTTGGGCGTTGAAAGAACCCAGCCATAAGGTAATTCTTGTCTTCTATGGAAATGTCAACATCTCAACACTGGACGACGAGATCAAGAGAAAAATCCAGAGGCGAGACTACCTCACTGCACGTGGTCGTTGCTTCTGGTACCGGCTGGAGTACGAACTGCCAAAACCCACAGTAAATGGGCAAGAAATAACTGAACATGAAGCTCGCATGGAAGAAGATACAGCCATCATTCATAATTCGGTGGTGATAGACAATACGTCTTATGTCTGATCTTTTTTTTTTTTTCTTGTTTTAATTTTTTGAGTTATTTTCTTCTCATTTTTTAAAGATGGAATTTTGGGAGGGTACTTTTATTTTGCGAATCAAAGAACCAAGGACTATACACTGACATTTTTTGGCATGCCTCATATTTAAAGTTTTACCTTTTTTGTTTTTTGTAAATTTTAAGTTTATAGTTTTTGTAAAAATGGATAAACATGACTGCAATAAGATGGAGTATCCAAAGGACTTTTTTTTTCCTCCATGACACTGCTTTTTTAACTACCATCACTCTTTGACAATGGTTATTGTTTTAAAAAGCGATTATTAGAATTGTAGTAAAACCTAAACAGATAAAAGTGAATTTTCTTTATTCTTGATAATTTACAATGAAAATAATAATCACTATTTATTTATTAGATTGTTTATTTACATTATTTATTTATTTAATGGAATCTCTATCTATAAAAGGAAGGATGTGTGTGTGTGTGTGTGTGTGTGTGTATGTAACGAGTGCACAGCTGCAATTTTCGATGGATCTGCACCAAAATTTACATGCACATGCTCCAAGTTAGTGGGAAGGCCAAGACCGACTTTGCATTTCCCAACTCCCATCGATAGTGGAAATAATCAATTTTTTTTCATGCTTCTACGGCAGTTTTCATGTAGTTTGCAGCCATTTTGTACTGGCCAGAGTGAGAGCTGGCTGCCACGAATAAGCAGGAAGATTCTATTGACCAGCGTGAGAGCCAACAGCTGACTGACATGAATGTAAACTAGCATGCTAACATGCAAAAAAAATCAATAGCTGCATTTGTCACAAGTGTGAAAAATTTAAATCTGCATGGCACTTTACTCCAATTGGCTCATTCGCTTGCTTATACTCAACGTTGATTCTGATTCCGCAGAACTGCGTTGGGTGTGGAAAAAGTAGTTATTGTTAACATTCTTTTTTCATTTGGTTTTCCAGTTACAAGTCCTTTTTTAAAGCTGATCGTTTTATGTTCATTTTGTTTAGTTCTTTTTTTTCGTAACAGATTTAATGTTTAGTATAGAGCTTAGAAAAAATTCACAGTGTGGGATAGGCAAGAAGTAAGGCATGTAGCAACATCAGCACAGCAAAGGGCACTCCTTTAAAGGCAAGGAAGGGCAAAAATATTTTAAGTTAAGTGATAGCAATTGCTGTATGAGTTGTATGATTTTTGAATCAAGCATGGGCAATGCTGAGCCATGCTGCTAGTGGTCAGCTAATTGCCAGTTGATTCAAACTTCATAAAATAATAAATATTAAGAATTTCCTTAAAGTTGGTTCACACATTTTTATAATTTAGTAAATGTTTATAAATTTATAAGTAAAAGTTGTTTTCACATTTCTTTATAAATTGGTAAATAGTAAATATTAGTTCTCTAATTGCATTAGTTTTTAGAATGTTTTAAATGTATAATTATTCTTGTAAATAAACAAATTGTAAATAATTGTAAATAAATATTGTAAATAAATAGTGTTTAATATTTTTGTGGTCAATTGTCAAGTACAAAAAAAATGTTTAAATTCACTTTCATATGTTTAGGTTTTATTACAATTTTAATCATTGCTTTTTAAAACAAACATTGCCGAGGGGTGAAGGTAGTTTAAAAATGGTATCATGGGAAAAATTGTCCTTTTGACACAATTTCTTGCAAGTACATTTATCCATGTTTGCCATAGTTTTTCCTTGCCATCAAATTTAGCATTAAATACAACATATTTTTAATGTTTTATAAAATCAATTATGAGGAATTTTGATTTGCATTGCAAAACAGTTACAATAAATCGGTTTTTGTTCATAATGGTCACAAAATTGCAAAAGCTTTGACCTAAAGGGAGATAATCTTTACAATAGATTGAAACAATAAAAACGTTTTTATTTTTTTTTTTTGATGAAGCATGGTCAACCATTTTTTTTTGTTTGTTTAGCATTTCTTTCATTTTTTTTCTGAAATTATGATGAAAGAAATACTAGTTAAAAAAAATATTTTTCCCCTGTTAAATTTGCTTATATTCTAATATTCTAGATTTTTTCTCAAAAACAACTGTTTATTTATTTTTTTTAAATTTAATTTTTTAATCAATATTCTTATCCTGTTTTGAGATTTTTTAAACATTCCTAACATTGTGCCTCTATTTTCAGGATTTATAATCAAGAATTAAAATTTTTTTTTCTTTTTTATGTTTTTCTTCCATGGTTTTTGAAAGTGAATTCCAAGCATAAAAACAAGTGATAAATTGTGCAGTGAAAAAAGTTTTTTTTTATTCTAATACACTTATTATAAATAAAGTATATTAAATTATGTAAATTAAATTTATGCAATCATACAGCTAATAATTTTTAGATATAAGTTGTTGATCGTACATAATTGTACAGGGCAAATCAAAGATTATGAACGAACATTAATTTTTTTTTTTTTTTTTTTTTTTAATGATTTCTGAAAGTAATTAAAATTGTATCTTACTAATGACTTAAACCAGGGATGGGCAACCTTTTCCGACCAGTGAGCCACATGACATATGGCTTATTATAAGGCGAGCCTCACTGCTAAAAAGATTCAATCAAGGTAATTTTTTGTAATTTGGTCATTTTCACTACAGATGAACATACATGTAAGTGTCTGACAGTGTGATTAGCACATGACACTTTGTGGGATTCATTTCTAATTTATTCACTTGAAAATACAAATAAAAATATTTTTTTTCTTCTTCAGATAAAAAAGTATTATGAACATTTGCTATTTCTAAAGCAAAAGATATTTATGTCTAATTTCTTTTAGGGAAAAGCATTTAAAAAAATAGTTTATGATGAAAAATAAAATTTTACCTTTGATGAAAGTTTAAAAATTCAAAAGCATTGTACTTGAATTTTTTCAATTTTTTTTTTTTTTTTTTTTTTTTAAACAATTCACTCCAAGCAAGGCAAGAGTGCCACTAGTATACAAGAGACTACAGAGAGTGTAAGTAAAAGAAAAGACTGGGTGGTGAAAGACTTTGAGGATTGGATAAAAAGAAAAACCAAGGAAGATAAAAAGAATGGGGATCAAGGCAACTGAAGATGCTGATTGACATTACATTTAAATTTTTGAAGATTATAGTTATCAGAGAAGCAAGTAAAAGGAAGGGAATTCCACTGTTGGAAAGTGCGAGAGAAGAAGCTGTTGGAGTAGCAGAGGCAGTTACCTTTAACAGTTTTGACAGTAAAAGGGTGGAACCGAGATGCTAACCTAGTAACATGCTTAGACTCATGCAGTTGTGACACCAATAAAAATAGCTCATCAGAGCAGTTGCTATGAAAATATTTGACTGAAGTTGAGATGCTAAGTCATGATCGATCATATTGCATGTCTGTCTTTGGACTTTGTCAAGAACCTAGAAATGAACAGCAGGGGCACTAGACCATAAATGGCAACAGTATTCCATGCATGGATGAATGGTAGATTTGTAGATGAGAAGGATGGACTCAGATGAGAAAAACCTTCTGACCTGACACAGAAAACCAACTTTCCTTGTTTATTCATTGTTTATGTATGTGGTTAGGTACAAGACAATGTGAATGAACAAGTGCAAATGAAACAAAACAGACCAAATTTTAAATGTTATTGTCCTCATGTAATTAAGTGTGCTATTCAGAAAGCCAAGCTAGTTGTATGTGGCCCGCCGACCACAGTTTGCCTATGACTGACTTTATGGTAAATTTAAAAAAAAAAAAAACTGGTTGCATAATAATGGGGGATATACAATTAATTTGCTTTTTATTTACCTACAGTAAAATGTAGACATTGTTATTAACTTGTTATTGCTATTTTACCTGTGTCGTCAAAAACACTTAAAGTAATTGTCTTAAAGCAATTTTGCATTATACTTCTAAAATTTCACTAACTTCATGTTGCTCTAAGAATGTTCTTGCTTATGTTCGGCCAGTAAAATACCTATTGAAACTGATGGGATTATTTATGTATGAATCGGTAATTAGAATATATGCGCTCTGTAAAAATGAACTCTATTACCATGTGTTATCTAAAAATACAAAATAATTTTGCCTTTTAAACCTTTTCAGGCCGGAAGCACCCAAATGTGCCCACAGGTTTCACTCGCTTTACAGTCTGGAACTACACGTGCCCAAATTGGGTAGCACTGTATTACAGCCTTAACACCCGACACAGAGTTGCCCGAAATCTACAACTTTGTAAAAATTGTAAATTTTGAAAATATACAACTTTGTAAAAATTGTAGATTTCCAAAAACTATATCTCTTAACCTACAGGGTTGAGTCGATAAAATTTTAAAAGAAAAATATCAAAAGTAAGTTTTAAAAAAACAAATTAAAAAGCCATGTATTATCTATTTCTTTGTGATAGCAACCCCAGTGGAGTATGAATCTTGTTACCATTAACACATGAATAGATTATTATCTGAAATAGGATAGTTAAGAGTATCACAGATAAAGTCACATTATATCTTCTTATTGTGCTGGAGAATTACCTTGGAGATCCAAGAGGGCTAGAGTAATGTAGTCTAAATGTGTGAGGAAATTGCTAATGAGGCAAACTGTCTGAGCATCAGCGCTGGAATTATGAGGGGCATGCGTCACTGAGTCACATTGCCCAATATGCAAATTCTATAGCTTGGCAAGAACATATGAAAAGGTGAGCATTTGTTGAAAAATCAGTTGGCATTTGCGCTCAACGCAGGTGTACTGAACCAGAATACGTTGTGAGTGTGTTTCCAGTGCCTGTGCTACAGAATCCCAGGTTTCCTGCTGCTACACTTATATAATAGAATATTATTATTATTATTATTAATGTCCTTCCAGTTTATATCCTATCTTTTGTGGAAAAAGAAAAGCAAGGATACACATCATTCAATAGATTTAAGCATTTTGATAATCCTTTATTTAAAAACATTTAATATTTGTTAGATTTTCAAAATATTTCACTAAAATATGTCAATGTTGCATACTTCCCTTTATACATTGCCTACT